TGTCTCTGAGATAATTAAATGCATATTTGAAAACACATATTTCAAATACTTTGGCTAAACAACGAGTTAGTGCTACAGCTCTGTAGTTGTTACATTCATTTATACCACCTTTCTTATGAATTGATATCACTGAAGCTATTTTCCAAATGTCTGGAAATACTGAGTTATTCAGAGAGGAATTAGACAATTTAGATAATGGGTCGGATATTACCAGGGCGCTGAGTTTTAATACTCGAGTACCGATACCTTATCATGCTGGTCATACAAATGGGGAATGCAAAAATAAAAGTACAAGTTAACACCGTCTCTCTCTAAACTAAACCACTAACCCCAAAACAATAAAACATAAAATTAACGTGAAAAGACAGAAAGTCCTTCTCTCTCTAATCTAAAACGCTAAGCCAAAACCGAAATAACATAAAATTAAACCTAAAAGCCTGCGGCCTTCTCTTTAAGCTAAATCACTAACCCAAACCACAATCACATAAATTTAAAGCTAAAAAGCATTAATACAAAGAAGTTTAAAACGTAAAATAAACAATAACAACACGAAATAAAGAACTCATAATACTATTAAAATAAAGAGGGTAAACATCGAGGTAAAGTCGGGCACGTGAAAGTGAAATACATTGCATAATCCTTGGCTCAAGTGATTTTCTACGCTTGGTTCAAAATCAGTCGGTCGGTCGAGGCATTGGAAGTATTGTTACCAGGTGAGGGGCACATGCTTTCAATGTCTACGAACTAGCCAGGATATTTGTCTTTAATTCCACCTGGTGTGATGGCGAACTCATTTTTGCTATGTTTGCACCTAGTTTGATGTTGTCTGGAAGGATGAATAAAGCGTTTTCATCGCTGCGCTGAGCCTTGGTATTGTCTTTAATTCCATGTGGAGAGAAAACGGAGACACAGTTTTTGTGATATTTAATTCTTTTTGTTTGTTACTAAAGGTTACCTTCACACAATTACATTCCTAAAGTAGCTTCATGGTGAGTTCTTACTCACAACATTGTCTTCAAATGAGCCTTGATTGGTGTCATGTTTGCAGAGGCACTTGTTTGGGTGGGGCACACAAGCTTTGCTCTGATATTTTGATTGTAATGCCTAATCCAACCTAATGCCAACTTAATCAGATGTCCAGCATCTGAGAGGAACTCTATGCATGGGGGTCGTGATTCCAGTTGTCAGTTGGTGCTTCAGTGTTGTGAGTCTCTGGTCGATCTTTGTATAGATCTCAGGAGTAGAACATGCCGTCCATGTAGAGCGTGTCGACTTCTTGTAGGAGAGTCATGCGGTCACTTGTGGCGAAGCAGATGATCTTGTCGTCGTCTCCATCGTCTATACAAAGGAACGGCAGTCCATGAGAAGTTTCCTTGAAGCAGTCTGTTAGATTCGCCTCGCTGAGCGTCTTGGGAGTAGCGGCATCTTCTTTTGTATCTGCTTGTAGAGTCCGCTCTTCACTGAATAGAATGACTTGACTGTCGCTGCTTCATCTCGGTCCAGTCTTGTATTCTCCTCGTCGTAGATGGTCGGTACTGGCGTTGTTTCAGTCAGTGCCCGTTGCCGCAGAACACTGGCAATCTTCAGAGCTACCTGATCTTCCTGTGGATGGTTGTGTGGGGACTGATTTCGGACAAACTGCCCGACTGTGGTGCACTTACCAAGGCAGCCTCCATGAACACACTTCCAGTTCACGCAGGTCTGTCGTCGGTTGTTGAGTCTGTATCTGTAGCCTTCTGTTAGTATCTGCTGTCCTCCTTTCTGTGATGTGAAGAACTCGACTTTCTTTGGGTTGGCCATTATTAGCAAAGAAGACTTTGGTTACAAGCATTTCAAAGCAATACATTGCCTTCTCAATAAGAAAAATCTCTCTAAATAAATTAAACATTTCCTTCTCACTTTGTTTTATCCCTCAATATGTTTTTCTATACTTCAACCGTGGGAGATGAAGCATAGCCTCTGCTAATTGCTTTTGCCCTCTACTCCCCTAATCCCATTGCAGGTATTAGTACACACTAACCGGTACAGTCCACTTGTATGCAGGTAAGCGTATCGCTGTCACAACAACCTTTGTAGCTATTATTCCCTGTAGCTATTTTTCCCTGTAGGCATTAGTAGACCAAACCGCTTAGCTTCGGGTGGCTTTAAGGGCGAGAAATCGTGACGACACCAGCACGTGTCGCATATGACGTGAAAGCTAAGACACGGGGCTTTCAAACCATAGTAACAACAAAACCCTGTGGTCGATGCAGGAAACATGACAAGTACCTGCAGCGTGAAATACTGCCGTAAATCGGGTTTAATCGGGCTTAAAAGCGCCCCGGCTTCGAACCTGTTAAAGACAGGTCATTTCTGATGATACCACCAGTTAACCCTGGGAACCAGCTTCACGTCGATGTGCGACATGTGAATGGCTTGTGTATATTCAACGTCTACGCGACGTTTTTTTTAAAAGATGCTCCCCCAACAAGGCTCTTTTCTTGGTAAAAAGACATGTCTATAACAGATGGCCAAATGGACGTGGACGTCCAACCAGGCGCCCCACGTCGACCCCGTGAAGATCCCAGATGCTTCATGCACGTGGCAACATTTTCATATATGATATGCATGCATATGTTTCTTTCTCCGGGTGTGAGACAATTAGTGCAAGCGGGATGCAGAGAACAAACCCCTTGTGATATCAAATCTGAGCTGTTTTGGCTCCCGTCAGGTACATGGGGTTTAGCTTCGGTCGGCTTTAAGGGTGAGAAAACGTGACGACACCAGCACGTGTTGCACATGACGTGAAAGCTAAGACACAGGGCTTTCAATCCATAGTAACAACAAAACCCTGTGGTCGATGTACGAAACAGAACAAGCACCTGCAGCGTGAAATACTGCCGTAAATCGGGTTTAATCGGGCTTAAAAGCGCCCCGGCTTCGAACCTGTTAAAGACAGGTCATTTCTGATGATACCACCAGTTAACCCTGGGAACCAGCTTCACGTCGATGTGCGACATGTGAATGGCTTGTGTATATTCAACGTCTACGCGACGTTTTTTTTAAAAGATGCTCCCCCAACAAGGCTCTTTTCTTGGTAAAAAGACATGTCTATAACAGATGGCCAAATGGACGTGGACGTCCAACCAGGCGCCCCACGTCGACCCCGTGAAGATCCCAGATGCTTCATGCACGTGGCAACATTTTCATATATGATATGCATGCATATGTTTCTTTCTCCGGGTGTGAGACAATTAGTGCAAGCGGGATGCAGAGAACAAACCCCTTGTGATATCAAATCTGAGCTGTTTTGGCTCCCGTCAGGTACATGGGGTTTAGCTTCGGTCGGCTTTAAGGGTGAGAAAACGTGACGACACCAGCACGTGTTGCACATGACGTGAAAGCTAAGACACAGGGCTTTCAATCCATAGTAACAACAAAACCCTGTGGTCGATGTACGAAACAGAACAAGCACCTGCAGCGTGAAATACTGCCGTAAATCGGGTTTAATCGGGCTTAAAAGCGCCCCGGCTTCGAACCTGTTAAAGACAGGTCATTTCTGATGATACCACCAGTTAACCCTGGGAACCAGCTTCACGTCGATGTGCGACATGTGAATGGCTTGTGTATATTCAACGTCTACGCGACGTTTTTTTTAAAAGATGCTCCCCCAACAAGGCTCTTTTCTTGGTAAAAAGACATGTCTATAACAGATGGCCAAATGGACGTGGACGTCCAACCAGGCGCCCCACGTCGACCCCGTGAAGATCCCAGATGCTTCATGCACGTGGCAACATTTTCATATATGATATGCATGCATATGTTTCTTTCTCCGGGTGTGAGACAATTAGTGCAAGCGGGATGCAGAGAACAAACCCCTTGTGATATCAAATCTGAGCTGTTTTGGCTCCCGTCAGGTACATGGGGTTTAGCTTCGGTCGGCTTTAAGGGTGAGAAAACGTGACGACACCAGCACGTGTTGCACATGACATGAAAGCTAAGACACAGGGCTTTCAATCCATAGTAACAACAAAACCCTGTGGTCGATGTACGAAACAGAACAAGCACCTGCAGCGTGAAATACTGCCGTAAATCGGGTTTAATCGGGCTTAAAGGGCGCCCCGGCTTCGAACCTGTTAAAGACAGGTCATTTCTGATGATACCACCAGTTAACCCTGGGAACCAGCTTCACGTCGATGTGCGACATGTGAATGGCTTGTGTATATTCAACGTCTACGCGACGTTTTTTTTTAAAAGATGCTCCCCCAACAAGGCTCTTTTCTTGGTAAAAAGACATGTCTATAACAGATGGCCAAATGGACGTGGACGTCCAACCAGGCGCCCCACGTCGACCCCGTGAAGATCCCAGGTGCTTCATGCACGTGGCAACATTTTCATATATGATATGCATGCATATGTTTCTTTCTCCGGGTGTGAGACAATTAGTGCAAGCGGGATGCAGAGAACAAACCCCTTGTGATATCAAATCTGAGCTGTTTTGGCTCCCGTCAGGTACATGGGGTTTAGCTTCGGTCGGCTTTAAGGGTGAGAAAACGTGACGACACCAGCACGTGTTGCACATGACGTGAAAGCTAAGACACAGGGCTTTCAATCCATAGTAACAACAAAACCCTGTGGTCGATGTACGAAACAGAACAAGCACCTGCAGCGCGATAAACTGCTGTAAATCGATTTAAATCGGGCTTAAAGGGCGCCCCGGCGTCGGACCTGTTAAAGACAGGTCACTTCTGATGATACCACCAGTTGGCCCTGGGAACCAGCTTCAGGTCGATGTGCAACATGTCAATGGGTTGTATATATTCAACGTCCAGGCGACGTTTCAACAACGGCACCCACCGTTTCTGGCCCCTGATATTGGGCTTCTGCAGTAGGTGATAACAGTTTATTATCACATTGTTGCTCCTGAATGTAATTTGTCGTCAAACTGGAAGCAAAACCTTTGCTTGTATGAAACGGTTAACAGCCCGTCTTTACAAAGAACTTCACAACAACAATTAGCAATTGGCTATCATCAGTAGTTTAATGGCAAACAATACATACGATTCAAACAGATACGCATGAACGACATGACAATTTGTGTTCAAACATTGGCACGAATGTCACTAGTCAACCAACGCAAAGTAACACCAAGCAATATGAAACTTAGATCAAACCAAATAATTGAGAATGAAAGGATGTGCAAATGGAAACGACTCCCAAGTAAAGGAAGAAAGGGGGATTACATGCCATCAGTTACAAAATATGTCACGGTTTCTTTGACATGCATCGGGTGGTGAGGCTTGTCTGACACATGTCGAATCCCAGTTGCGTAGATTTGGTGCCCATGATGTTGATCACTGATTTGTCTGGTCCAGACTCCATTATTTACAGACCGCCACCATATAGCTGGAATATTGCTGAGTGCGGCGTTAAACAGCACAGAAACAAACAAGCAAACTGCCCAAACAGTATAATGATTCCAGGAATCCCCGTGTTAGTATTGCAATGAATGCCTATTCCAGAGTGAATGATTTCGATGTAAAGATAAATTGTTTTATAATCTGATCATGTTGTACCAGTTTCATGAGTAATCATGATGAAAGCCGATGAAAGTTGACATGACTGAAGCCCCCTTGGCTAATAAAAATAAAGAATTGGGATAAACCAAATCAGTGCGTATATCACAAAAAATAATAGTTCAACGTATTTTCCAATTTTTCTTTGGTAGAATAATCTAATTATATACCGAAGGTATTTCATGATACATTTAAAAAGTCCACACTGGCTGACAAAATGAATGGCTGTGATCAGCGAAGTGGCTTTATGTGTTACTCCCTGTTCCTGGTATCGGAGCTGACACATCGTGCAGTAAACCACCAAAAGTAAGATCATACAACCTAATGTAAGAACTCTGGCAATCAATTTGCATTTATTCTTCAGGCGATTGCTCGCGAGAAAATCACTTACAAACGCCATGTTGAAGATACCGAAAGCGGCAATGCCTCCTATCCGAGGTGTCATGTCCACAGGGAAGGGTAGAAGGTCTGCAGTGAACAGTCCTTGCATGATAACAGACACAAGAGTCACCAACAGCTGGTAGCCAGTCATCCATGGTAGTTCAGTCGACACGAATATTATACTGCGGAACACATTGACAGCAGAAAGAAGGAAAGATATTATCACAAGAGCCATTTGTACTTCTGCTGTGTAAGGTAGAAATGTTGACTTGTCCACGCCAACAATGACGGGGGAAATACTTTGTGTAAGCATGACAGCTATCCCTAGAAGGAATATAAACTGCATGATTTGCATAATTCTTATCACCACAGTTGTACAATAGCTTTCATTTTGTTTCAATGATGGTTTAATGGTGCTCACATCAGTCCAGTTTATGTTGTGTATGAGAGTCCCTTGAGGATGTGAGACAGCAGGCCCGTTGTCCCCAGAATCTGCGTCAGCAACATCACAGATGAGGTTCATTGCGTTTTCAGAAAGTGACGTATTTGTGACAAGACCCGTGGATTCGCCATTGTCCTCAATCTCTGATCGTTTTATTACCAAAGAGCCATTTTGAAATGTCACAACATAGGCTTGAGATCCACTTGAACACTGTAGTGTCCAAGCCAGGCTGAGATTTGTGGGAGAAAATAGACTTGCCCACAGAGATAGAGATTCTCGTGTTACCATGAAAACTGATTCATGTGGTTGCACCAGTTGGTAACAGTATCTATATAACAGGTTACAGGTTATCTTCGAAGGTGTAGTCTTCACTGAACCTGTTAAACGCCCAAGCCAAGACTTGTCCTTCTTCATTCGCAAATATGGAAACCCTTTTGAAACGACCGGTTCAACATCTCCTCCCAGCAAAAATATGACATTTTGTACATCGTGTGTTATTGCCAGAAAGAGAGCCATATTCTCCTCAAAGGCAAACATAGCATCGTGATCCTCAACCGGCGTCTGGAGGTAGATGATGATCAACCAGACGGCCTTCTCCATCATGCTGCCTCTGTCCCTCATCTCAAGTCCCCCATCTCTCCCGTCCCTCTGATAGTATGTAGTGGGGATGCCCGACCTTTCCATGTCACCGCAAAGCGTCTGTACAATGACATGGTCCTCCTCCGAGTCTTCATTAAATACCACATGAGCAGCATCGGCGCTCTGGTCAACACCAAGCCGTGTTACTCGAGCCATTCTCTCCTTGATGCTCTTATAGTTTTAGTTCGCCAAACTGGTCACAGTTGGTGTGTAGATCTTGAGATTTCTCTATGAGTTCCTCCGGTTGTTACCTAGATCACAAATACAAAATCGTATGTTAAAATGTGCGACAACGCTTACCTTCGGAATTCGGCATGTTCCAATAGCAAGAACTATATTGACTTGGACTGAATGGCTTTGAGATTGCGCAATGCTAGTTGTCTAAAAAAACAGCGTTAAACCAATTGTAGTATCATCATGTCCTCAAGTGACACACACACACATACACACGCACACGCACGCAAGCACGCACGGACGGACGCATGCACGCACGCACGCACACACACACACACATACGCACACTTACCCGTACACCTGTACGTTAATCTTAATCCCTTAATGCTGACATTTTAAGTGTATCTGGATCCCTGTTGTATCTGGAAATTAGGTGTACGTCTCTATATGTGTACGCTAATGTGTCGATTGCACTTGGATGATACGTACTTTAAATGTACTGGATAATATTAGAACAATATGTCCCCTGTTATATCTTGTCTTGTTTTGGTTTTAAAAATTGTTTAAAGTTTCGAAGTAGTGACTGTTAGTTGAAGCAAATGACTGTAGCGGTTATAAAATCTCAAATTCCGCAGTGACCAGGCGTATGTGGCTGATATCAGAGGCGAGAAAAGTAAAACTGATGCCACTGTTTTTTATCAGTAGACAGGAGTTGGACATATGTTTCCCAGGTTTTCATCAGTAGACGGGAGTTGGACATATGTTTCCCAGGTTTTCATCAGTAGACGGGAGTTGGACATATGTTTCCCAGGTCTATATCAGCAGACGGGAGTTGGACATATGTTTCCCAGGTCTATATCTGCAGACTGGAGCTGGACATCTGTTTCCCAGGTTTTTATCTGCAGACGGGAGTTGGACATCTGTTTCCCAGGTTTTTATCAGTAGACGGGAGTTGGACATATGTTTCCAGTAGACAGGTTTTGTTTCCCATCAGTAGACGGGAGTTGGACATATGTTTCCCAGGTCTATATCAGTAGACAGTTGGACATATGTTTCCCAGGTCTTTATCAGTAGACGGGAGTTGGACATATGTTTCCCAGGTCTATATCAGTAGACGGGAGTTGGACATATGTTTCCCAGGTCTTATCAGCAGACGGGAGTTGGACATATGTTTCCCAGGTCTATATCTGCAGACGGGAGCTGGACATCTGTTTCCCAGGTTTTTATCAGTAGACAGGAGTTGGACATATGTTTCCCAGGTCTATATCTGCAGACGGGAGCTGGACATCTGTTTCCCAGGTTTTTATCAGTAGACAGGAGTTGGACATATGTTTCCCAGGTTTTTATCAGTAGACGGGAGTTGGACATATGTTTCCCAGGTTTTTATCAGTAGACGGGAGTTGGACATCTGTTTCCCAGGTTTTATCAGTAGACGGGAGTTGGACATATGTTTCCCAGGTTTTATCAGTAGACAGGAGCTGGACATATGTTTCCCAGGTCTATATCAGCAGACGGAGTTGGACATATGTTTCCCAGGTCTATATCAGTAGACGGGAGTTGGACATATGTTTCCCAGGTTTTTATCAGTAGACGGGAGTTGGACATATGTTTCCCAGGTTTTATCAGTAGACGGGAGTTGGACATATGTTTCCCAGGTCTATATCTGCAGACGGAGCTGGACATCTGTTTCCCAGGTTTTATCAGTAGACAGGAGTTGGACATATGTTTCCAAGGTCTATATCAGCAGACGGGAGCTGGACATCTGTTTCCCAGGTTTTATCAGTAGACGGAGTTGGACATATGTTTCCCAGGTCTATATCTGCAGACGGGAGTTGGACATCTGTTTCCCAGGTTTTATCAGTAGACAGGAGTTGGACATATGTTTCCCAGGTCTATATCTGCAGACGGGAGCTTGACATCTGTTTCCCAGGTTTTTATCAGTAGACGGGAGTTGGACATATGTTTCCCAGGTCTATATCAGTAGACGGGAGCTGGACATATGTTTCCCAGGTTTTTATCTGCAGACGGGAGTTGGACATATGTTTCCCAGGTTTTATCAGTAGACAGGAGTTGGACATATGTTTCCCAGGTTTTATCAGTAGACGGGAGTTGGACATATGTTTCCCAGGTTTTATCAGTAGACGGGAGTTGGACATATGTTTCCCAGGTTTTATCAGTAGACGGGAGTTGGACATATGTTTCCCAGGTTTTATCAGTAGACGGGAGTTGGACATATGTTTCCCAGGTTTTATCAGCAGACAGGAGTTGGACATATGTTTCCCAGGTTTTTATCAGTAGACAGGAGTTGGACATATGTTTCCCAGGTCTATATCAGCAGACGGGAGCTTGACATCTGTTTCCCAGGTTTTTATCAGTAGACAGGAGTTGGACATATGTTTCCCAGGTTTATCTGCAGACGGGAGCTGGACATCTGTTTCAGACAGGGAGTTGGACATCTGTTTCCCAGGTTTTTATCAGTAGACAGGAGTTGGACATATGTTTCCCAGGTTTTATATCTGCAGACGGGAGTTGGACATCTGTTTCCCAGGTTTTTATCAGTAGACGGGAGTTGGACATATGTTTCCCAGGTTTTTATCAGTAGACGGGAGTTGGACATATGTTTCCCAGGTTTTTATCAGTAGACGGGAGTTGGACATATGTTTCCCAGGTTTTTATCAGTAGACGGGAGTTGGACATATGTTTCCCAGGTTTTTATCAGTAGACGGGAGTTGGACATATGTTTCCCAGGTTTTTATCAGTAGACAGGAGTTGGACATATGTTTCCCAGGTTTATATCAGCAGACGGGAGTTGGACATCTGTTTCCCAGGTTTTTATCAGTAGACGGGAGTTGGACATATGTTTCCCAGGTTTTTATCAGTAGACGGGAGTTGGACATATGTTTCCCAGGTTTTTATCAGTAGACGGGAGTTGGACATCTGTTTCCCAGGTCTATATCTGCAGACGGGAGTTGGACATCTGTTTCCCAGGTTTTTATCAGTAGACAGGAGTTGGACATATGTTTCCCAGGTCTATATCTGCAGACGGGAGCTGGACATCTGTTTCCCAGGTTTTATCAGTAGACGGGAGTTGGACATATGTTTCCCAGGTTTTTATCAGTAGACGGGAGTTGGACATATGTTTCCCAGGTTTTATCAGTAGACGGAGTTGGACATATGTTTCCCAGGTTTTATCAGTAGACGGAGTTGGACATATGTTTCCCAGGTTTTATCAGTAGACGGGAGTTGGACATATGTTTCCCAGGTTTTTATCAGTAGACGGAGTTGGACATATGTTTCCCAGGTTTTATCAGTAGACGGGAGTTGGACATATGTTTCCCAGGTTTTATCAGTAGACGGGAGCTGGACATCTGTTTCCCAGGTTTTATCAGTAGACAGGAGTTGGACATATGTTTCCCAGGTTTTATCTCAGTAGACGGGAGTTGGACATATGTTTCCCAGGTTTTATCAGTAGACGGGAGTTGGACATCTGTTTCCCAGGTTTTTATCAGTAGACGGGAGTTGGACATATGTTTCCCAGGTTTTTATCAGTAGACGGAGTTGGACATATGTTTCCCAGGTTTTTATCAGTAGACGGGAGTTGGACATATGTTTCCCAGGTTTTTATCAGTAGACGGGAGTTGGACATATGTTTCCCAGGTTTTTATCAGTAGACGGGAGTTGGACATATGTTTCCCAGGTTTTTATCAGTAGACGGGAGTTGGACATCTGTTTCCCAGGTTTTCAGTATCAGTAGACGGGAGTTGGACATCTGTTTCCCAGGTTTTATCAGTAGACAGGAGTTGGACATATGTTTCCCAGGTCTATATCTGCAGACGGAGCTTGACATCTGTTTCCCAGGTTTTATCAGTAGACAGGAGTTGGACATCTGTTTCCCAGGTCTATATCTGCAGACGGGAGCTTGACATCTGTTTCCCAGGTTTTTATCAGTAGACAGGAGTTGGACATATGTTTCCCAGGTTTTTATCAGTAGACGGGAGTTGGACATCTGTTTCCCAGGTTTTTATCAGTAGACGGGAGTTGGACATATGTTTCCCAGGTTTTTATCAGTAGACGGGAGTTGGACATATGTTTCCCAGGTTTTTATCAGTAGACGGGAGTTGGACATATGTTTCCCAGGTTTTATCAGTAGACGGAGTTGGACATATGTTTCCCAGGTTTTATCAGTAGACGGGAGTTGGACATATGTTTCCCAGGTCTTTATCAGTAGACGGGAGTTGGACATATGTTTCCCAGGTTTTTATCAGTAGACGGGAGTTGGACATCTGTTTCCCAGGTTTTTATCAGTAGACGGGAGTTGGACATATGTTTCCCAGGTTTTTATCAGTAGACGGGAGTTGGACATATGTTTCCCAGGTTTTTATCAGTAGACGGAGTTGGACATATGTTTCCCAGGTTTTATCAGTAGACGGGAGTTGGACATATGTTTCCCCAGGTTTTATCAGTAGACGGAGTTGGACATATGTTTCCCAGGTTTTATCAGTAGACGGGAGTTGGACATATGTTTCCCAGGTTTTATCAGTAGACAGGAGTTGGACATATGTTTCCCAGGTTTTATCAGTAGACGGAGTTGGACATATGTTTCCCAGGTTTTATCAGTAGACGGGAGTTGGACATATGTTTCCCAGGTTTTATCAGTAGACGGAGTTGGACATCTGTTTCCCAGGTTTTTATCAGTAGACGGGAGTTGGACATCTGTTTCCCAGGTTTTTATCAGTAGACAGGAGTTGGACATCTGTTTCCCAGGTTTTATCAGTAGACGGGAGTTGGACATCCTGTTTCCCAGGTTTTATCAGTAGACGGAGTTGGACATATGTTTCCCAGGTTTTATCAGTAGACGGGAGTTGGACATATGTTTCCCAGGTTTTATCAGTAGACGGGAGTTGGACATATGTTTCCCAGGTTTTATCAGTAGACGGGAGTTGGACATATGTTTCCCAGGTTTTATCAGTAGACGGGAGTTGGACATATGTTTCCCAGGTTTTTATCAGTAGACGGAGTTGGACATATGTTTCCCAGGTTTTATCAGTAGACGGAGTTGGACATATGTTTCCCAGGT